GTTAATTGTTCATATTGATCAATAGTACATTTACTATCAGTATAAATTCTAATATTTGCATTTGGAGGAGAGACTAATATTACTGCTACCACTGCTATTAGTTCAGATCTTGCTGCTGAGGGCCAAGACCTTAAACTTGCAGTAAATTGTAATTGTGGTGCTGCTGTATGTGTTTGTATATAAGCACAGACCATAGATATATCATGTGTTCCCAAATTTGTCAAAGAATCATCTTATAAAATTCCAGGGTTTTATAAGGTTCTAGAATTATTTGGTGCTGTAGTAATTGATTTTGTATAATTGGATTGTCCACAAATTTTATAATGAGATTATTATCTGGTTGTCTTCTAGTAGGCATATGAAAGCTTGGTATAATTATACCTAGATTAACTTCCATGACAAATTTTGCTTTTGTATATAAGTCAGCTATTGTATAGTTAAGACTATGCTCATAAGCAGAAATTTTTTTTGTATTGATGACTATTGCATATATTGGATTATATACAGTGTGTAACAAAAAAAAACCAGAAATCTTTTATTTATTTTGTTCTCAATAATGGTTGAATGAAAATAGATAAAAATATATCGAAAAGAAAGCTGGAAATCAGAAGTTTTTATTAATATAAATTTTATATGAAACTTATTTTAATTGCTTTTAATATTAGGCAATGAAGTTAATTTTATTCCATTTAAAAATTCAATTATAAAAATCAGCAAATTCATTTCTCATTAATTTGCCAAAAGTCATTCCAATTCATTGGAGTTTTTTAGCATTCATACCCTGTGTCTTGCTTAACAAACTCACCAAAAATTTTAGTGTTTCAATATATGAACATTGTTGAATAATCATCACATAACTAATAGCGCATTTTTAAATTGAAGTCTTCATGAATAAATTTTGAGCTTAAAATAATCGACTTTCAAAAATCCGATTTAAATCAAATCAGCATCTCAATCTTTGTGATAAGTTCAGAAATGATCTCTATATAGAATGTAGTGGCAATTGGCTGCTAGAAAAAACAAAAAAATCATTTTTCTAAATTGCACCAAAAAAATTCCGGTTTTTTTGTTACACACTGTATATACCACTATTAATTAATTTCTATTATCTTCCTCTAAGACCAGGCTTGGCTGTTGCCATATGGCATTGAGTATTGATAGCCGGTGCTTGTGTGATGATTGCTTTGTGTTATATATACCCTCTAGAATAAAGTCGGTGTCTGCAACTGATTCAAAATTCTCCAACTTGGAAGGTTGCAACCTGGATTGTTGTTTTAAATTTTCCCTGAGTTGTTGTCTTGCTAATGGCACACCTACTCACCAACAACCTACCCCATTTAAATAACAAATTCAGCTGGTCAAATAAAGATTAAAGAAAGAGAGAATTTATGAAAATGATTAACTTACATATAACATACCGAGTCATTTCATTTTACAGCCTTCACCTTAATTCCTGGCTATCACAATAGGAGTGGGCAGAGTCAAATTGCCTCCCTGTATTTGTAACGCACATGCTTTCATTAAGCTACGCTCCTTTAACCTAGGGTGGGTTATATGGGCAAAAGCCCCCATTTAAAAAATAACATATTCAGCTTGTCAAATAAAAATTAAAGAAGCAGAAAATGATTAATTTATATATAACATACCAAACAAAATCTGAACCATTTTATTTTAGAGACTTCCTCCTAATATCAGAGCCCAAATGCAATTTCAGGTTCACCAATCTCACTCTGAATTGCAACTTCCTGTTGAAATGAGTTGCAGATTCTTGTTGCTTTGATGGATCTGGATGTTTATGTATATCTAACATTACTACTCTTCAAAATGTTGTAAAGTTGCAGCTTGGTCACAGAGAGCCATCTTTACCCTAGAGGTAGGATCATTGTAGACAAATTTCATCTAACGTGCCAGCAAGCCTTCTCTGGTCTGGGTGCTGTGAAGGAAGATTACTAAAAAGTGCGCTTGACAATTGGTGCAGTCTCGGTAAATTCAAGGGCATGTTCACCCCCGGTGTTTATCCAATGATGGAGATAACAACCGAAAATGAAGCAACCTGATAAAAGGATGACATACTTGAGGCTAAAAATTGAGGATTGTTTTTGCGACATAGGTTTATTTGTTTTCGTGGGAAGTTTGGACTAAGCCATAGACATATAAGCCTAAATAACTGACCAATATCCCTCCCTTTGCTTGCGAAAAGAAAAATTTATTAAATATGATCAGGATACGGATATTATTCCGTGCCTGTAGATCCAAATCCACCACACGTAATGTTAAGTGTAGGGTCAACAACACTCACTAAGCAACTCCGCCATCTCAGTCACCAACTCAAAATAAATCCATCACCAACTCAACCACCATCATCAAGAACACAAGTCACAATACACCTTGAACATATCGGATAATGATGACGGGATGTTGTCAATTCCAGCCCTGCCTATCATCAATATCAGGTTGTTTTGTTTTTTTAGTAATAATATTTAAAACTCTACAATTTGCAATTGGAAGTGCGCGCGCACACAAAGAAAAGGAACCAAGTAAATAGAAACTTGAACACCAAAATTTTCTGCAATACTTGGTCGATGCAATTTATTTACTAATCCTTTGTAAAAAGTAATAATAATAATACGTATCATCATAAATATTGTAACGCACATGTAACTTATGGAGTCAGATGCATTCACATTCAAGGGAAGGATTATTTAACTAAGGGAAAATACATAATGATTTTAATATAAATATTAGATATTAAAAAATTACAAGATAAAACTATCAGAGCAATCACATGGGTAGCCATTGTTGGGTATTACCTATTCTTTGGTCACTCTTTATGTAAATCTATTTTATAATATTATTACTCTTGCTAATATTAGTATCTTCTTCATCTTCTATATCATCCTCCCTCTCAATTTTTTTCTTCTTTTCTTTATCAATTCTCTATGGTTTCCTTCTAGGATTCATTTTTTTGTTGATAGAAGATTTTTGCATTAAAGGCAGCAATTCCACCACATAGTCTATTTCACCAAATGAAAAAAAAAAGGATCAGTTCAGTCATTTCATCAAGAATCCTCCCACAACTTTTAAATTTCCATTAGATTGATTACCAGTTGGTTTACTGCTTGATTTGCGTTTTTCTGGGTTCTACTAGATTAACTATTCTATAGGTTTGATAATATACTAAAAAGCCAAAGAATAGTCCGATCAACAATCCATAAAAAAAATTTTACTTGTGGAAGGCAAAGATTTGGTTTGTTTTATAACGCTGAGTTTTGTTTTAGAACTGTAAAATAGCAATAAGAATTATGGCTATGATTTTTTTAATATTGTTAGTAAAGAATTTTTATTTCAACTTTAAATTTAAATAAAATTTTCTTTCCTATTATATTTCTTTGCAATTATTTTTGGGATTGATGTTAAAAAAAAAAGTTCTTAAAGTGTTAAACGCGATGGAATTTCCTCGAGACGTAACATGAGTCTTGGATTTTTAAAAAATAAAAATGGGCCTGTAATTTCCTGTGACATAAACGTTCACTTTGTCTGGTTTTGTTGGAGTATGCCCCATATAATCAATTTATATTTGTATCTTTATTTATTTGCCATCCTTATTGAAGATAATTAAATAATAATTTCAGAAAAATTAAGATAAAATTCCCGAGCTTAAAATCCAAAAATCCAAAAATCAGTATTCCTTTATAGATATACATATAAAAAATATTATAAATCTAAACTTGAAATTCCTTTAATTATTTGGTTGTTCTAAATTATATTTTTTATGATTATATATTAATTAAAAAATAAATGTAACGTTGAATTGATTTTTTTCAAAAAACCATTTTTGAAAATCATTAATACCTTCTAAAACAGTTTCAACGTCGTTTGCATCAATTATATTACGACCAGTTTGATTCGAAAGAGTTTCAATGTGTTCTTTGATCTGATCGAATGAAAGAGAAAAATAATCATTTTCACTATCAGATTTTTTTAATAAATAGGATGTTGGAAATGTATAATTTTCCAATGTCTATTTATGATGATATTATACAATATGTAATACTAATGATGCCAAAAGATATATTTACTTTAGGTTCGTCTTTACTAATCCATGTAATAATTTGATCGATTGATTGTAGCGTAAATAATCCTCCTTCTAATCTTTTTAAATAAAATTCTTC